TTTGAGATTAAAAACTAACCCGATAACAATTGTTCGTTACAGAAAAATATGCAAATCCCTCTGGACACATTCTCTTATTTATTTGGCATACGGCCGCGGATATTTCAACATCGGCGTTTACTTCGCAAGCCCAATCGTCCCAGAATCCACCTTTTGCACTTATTACAACACAACCATCGTCTTCATACTTCCCATTATCTGGTTTTCCGGACATCCATTTGAAGTAATTTACCGGAGTGCCATCAGACCAATACCGTTGTGCAACATCATATTTTTTGGATTGCAGGCCAATGTATGCCCTCGAAACTTTCCCCTTCATCAAAAGATCTGAAAAAAAAAAGAATTTTATCTATTTTTAGTTTTCAGGCACATTATTCCGTAGATCCAGTAGAATTTATTATTATTTACTATATGCAACGAATTCATTATACAGTGCTGTGAACTTTTGGCAAGCCGGGAACCTCTGGCTTTTGAAGATTTTTATTCTCAGCCCAAAAGTCCGATAAATTGTTCCGACTGGAAAAGTGGATTATCAAATGGTACCCACATAGTGTTAAAAGAATACAGGAAAAATCGCAGTGCAGTGAAGGATCTGTTGAAATGGCTTTACAGAATTATGTGGATGAGCAAAGTTGAAAATAGAGAAGAATGGAAAAGTTGCTAGTCGCATCAGTGGCGAGAAGAAACGCGACTTTGAAAAAAGAGCTGACTAAAGTAACAAACTGCGAAGCATTGCATAGTCGCTGCTTGAACTGCGTGCAGTATCGTGTGACAAGAACGTTTTTCAGGAAAAAGGCATCGGTGCTCTGATGAAGATGGCCCCTCTTTGTTGTTCTCAGAGACATTAATAAACCATTGCAAAGCTTTTAACAAATCCTTACCTTTGATTGCGTCATTTTCCTCGTCAGAATGAATGGATGCAAGAAATGCTCCTTTTGATGCGCAGTCCAAAAGTGCGTCCATCCGGCTCATCACTTTGGCTTTCGTCAGCTAGAAATACCGTATTTAAACTTTATTACACGCGAAATCAACACAAAACTCAGAAATCCAATACCACCTCCGTTATTCGCTCTTTGTGAGAGGCAAGGGCATTCGAGAAGTAGCTCGATTGGTAACAAATGCTAAAAGGAACCACCCGCTTTCAAAGCTGTCGATGGCTTCGTCTTTTGAGGGTGCTAGCATGTATGCCAGCACGTCAGCACTAATTTACCATGGCAGTGAATGAAAAAGTCGTGGAAAGTCTAACTGTTCTACTGGCAGAGTCGAACGTATTTCAGGACTGTAGTGCTACTTACCTTTCTTTCATGTCGAAAAGAGTCTAAGAAAAAAAAACTGCATTAATTTATGAATCTAGCAAATAAAAAGAAAGGAGCAAAAAATTGTTACTATTAAGAAAATCGTTACTATTTTAAAATTTGTTTTATGACAGTTAGTTTTAACATTTTTGTATTTGTGCTGTGTGTTTTCACATAATTTTTTAGACCGTTATAGTGTATCATCGTGGCCTGGAAGCGACAGAATTAAAGAGGCGGCTGTAATGCTCAACACATACCGAGGACGTTTCGGAGCGGCTAACGCCCTACCAAAGTGCTTTTGTTGAGAGGACCACTGAGGTTGCAATTCATTCAAGGGATGGACTGAAAGACATCAGGATCACGCGCAGGCTGACCACCAAATAAAGCAGCACTGGCCAGAGCAACCGGGAATATTGCTAGCTGTAGGTTCAGACTATGCGTTGTAACTCATCAAACCATGAAAAGTAGGTATTTTCTAAGTGCTCATGAGCTGATTAAATGCATTTTCGCAGTCCTATTTTATTTAGCTGTTAGTTAAGTGCTATCCCTTTTTTCGTTGGATTCCTTAGACAAAACGACACAACTGGTTAAGATATCGAGAAGCTTAATGGACCGAAACTTCCTTATCTTAGCTTTTTCTACAATACTCGTGAGCATACATATGTATATATATATATGTTAATTTGTTGCTTTCTATTTCTGTGTGCACAAATTTACTTAGTGGTTGCAGTTCTTCCCTGTTCTTATGTATGGGATATTCTGTATTCGTGAT